ACACAGCCTAAATGCATCCTCTTGAAAGATAATTTTTTTTACCTGTCATCACAAATTCAATCTCCTCAGAAAAATGCTTTCCCATTAAGTGCCCTTTGACACAAATATTGAACTGCTGGACATAAAAGATTGCTCTAGGTTCAAATTAATGTGAAAAAAGTTATTGTTATGCTTAAAAAGATCAGACAAGCGCATAACAACTCTAGTATGGTTTGGTTTGAGCACGTTTGCCTACATGTGCTGATGCAGGCCCATATGCCTGGCACATCAGCTACTTGGAGTTAACAGTAGGCAATTTCACTGAGAGCCACCCCTTGACTCTAACAAGAAGCTTGTTAATGCATCCTTTCCTCCCATTGCCCCAGTGAGCCAGAGGGAAGCTGGATCTCTCACCTCCTCTATGGTTCTGGGATGTCCAGCTCTCAGTAGGCAGACACTATTATTCCCTACCATCTGAGTCAGGTCCCTTTGTGCTATTCCATTTTAGGGGTGTTGAGCTTAGCAGTATCACTGCTTCAGATCTGCAAGGCCATTTATTTAAATATAGGCACACAAAATATATGCCTATAATAGGAAGGAAACTATGAAAGTCTTTGAAAGTAGGTCTGGAGGGCTTCAGTTTCTCTGCAAATTATTTTAGCTGCTATCTAAATCGTATACCTAAAATTAGAAGGTGTGTACATTCCCTATCATTTTTTAAGAGTGAATATATTGCTTGGTGTCACTGTTTACTGGAAATGGGTAAACCACACATTAAATTTAGAATTTGTTGTCTCAAGGGACTTTTTTTTTTTTTTTTTTTCACAGAAGCATAAAAAATTTTAGTGACAAGTTTTGGGGTTTTCAAAATCCCTACTGACTTATCTGGGAAATACATAATCTGAAGCACAAAGGGCTTCTGAAATATTCTGTAATAATAATTTCTTGTCATTGTTCCATCACTTTGGTTATGCACTGGTGCAGGCTTATATTGTGAAATCTACTGGTCGAAGATGCTTTCAGCAGTCACAGTTTTGTGATGATCTACTTTTGAAGAACTCAGATGAGATCCCACAGTTTATATTTTAAATGTCATATTTGAAGATTTTCTTGGCCTTTTCTTTCTTTCTTGGATTAAAATTGAAAATGATTAAACTTAAAGATTCAAATGAGCATTTAATCCTACAGCAGGATTTATTACAGTTGGCAGAATGATTGCTTCAAGAAAACTTAATTACCAACATATGTAAACAATCACTGCTGTGTTTAGCTGGCATCCTAAATGATAAAAATTTACTCTGGGATAAAATGTGCTTTTACCCTGAGGTCCATTGTATATGGTAACATAGAACAGAGATGGAGAGACTTGAACTGGGAGGAACTCTGTGTCAGAGATGTGGGACTCTGCAGAGGTACACTGATTTGGAAGCAGTATCCTCTGCCCCTTCCCAAGGTGAGGGTTGGTCTCCTTGTTCTATCTCCAAGAGACTGCCTAAGAAAACTGCAAAGAAAACAATTCCACATTTTCTTAGACACCTAAGTTATCAGCAGACCAAGGTGAACAAGATCTAAGGAAGCAGATGAGAGAAGAGGGTTTTGTACATCCCAATTCACCCTCTAGACAGGGCAACCCAGCCTTTCAGCTCTTTCATAGACTACACAAAGTAGGCTGCCTAAAGAGTACTCCTATATCATCTCTTTACTATCTGTTGCAATCTGAGACTGTCAAGATCTTTAGTCCAAATCTATTGTCTATAGATAAAATCTGAAACTCTGTCTGGACAAATTTCAAGGTTTGGAATACCTTTTTCAGCAAGGAAAAAAAAATCTATCCTCAGTGTCAAGATGAAAGGAGCTTGCTAAAGAAGCTGTTCTGCTTGGGGAACTAGTGTCAGAAAATCATAAGGAATCATAAGAAAAACCAAAACAAATCAGAGAGGCAGTCATCACATCTCATCTCTACTTTATCTGTGCTCTCAGTGTGCAAGGAACATTAGGGCACAATTCAGATTGTAGGGGTTGATAGGATTTCTTTTGTCCAGAACATAGCTCTCCACCATCAGGGATACATCCTTAACAAGGCAGAGATTGCCTTCAAGCAATGCAACATCAGTCTAAAAGGAGTGATGTATCAGCCCTCCTTAAAGATGCTTGCTTAGTTGCTAAAATTTTTAAGAAATATAGGGTAAGGAGATAGAAGTGCTTTGCTCCAGGAATGGAATAAATATTTTTCTGATGTACTAAAATGACTTTTTTTTTCCACACCAGCAATTTTTTTCATGCTGGATCACCGCTCCTAACATAAACTAAAAGAGCAGAAAGAGATAAAATCTCAATGTGCTAAATTTTTAGTATGAGTCTTATCCCACTGATGTCAACATTTTCATCCAAGTCAGTATTTTATTACTACATTTTCCAGTCAATATGGATTTTTAGCTTATCAGCTGAGAGTCAAAGTGAAGAGGTGAAGGTATAAGGAGACATCTCAAATTTCTGGAATGGTTGCTTAACAAGAAAGAACACAGGGACACAGTAAATCTAGGTATCCTCACAGTTCTATTTCTGCTATTCCTACTGGGTGGTACTGATAGTGGTACATTTTCCTAACTTCAGTCAGTAGTTCTCTGTTGAATCATTCTGTGGATAGGGGAGGAAGAAAACCTTTCTGCATTTTTTCTTTATCTGACACAGATCTCCTCTTTGTTCTGGCTGCATCCCTTGTTCTGTGTCTGGAGAGATAAGACTGAAGCCGCTACCTAATATAAGCAGATGTGAAGTAGGTTAAGTTGTAAGAGGAAGATGTTTTATTTCTTTAATTCCTGTGCAAGGATGAGGAGCTGTCAGACCAGATAAGAAGCAACAGGACAAGTTTTATTTCTTTCATTTCTGTGTTTAAGGCAATAAAAGGAAGAAATATGAAGTGTCTTGAACAACTGCAATTCTGGCCATTGCTGGAGAGTTGCCAGCTTCAGGTCCTTGAGAATGTATGAGGTTTGCTCATATTGCCTCAGCATACAGCTGGAAACAGTGATGGTGCAGTGTAAGATTGAGTTTGACTCCTGTCCCTCCCACCCCAGGCACGTTCCCTGCATTATTACTGCCATGTCATCACTGTTGTCCTGGCCCCAGCTTTTCAGAGCTGACTTTTGAGAAATTATTCCTTACTGGATGTTTTGAATGGCTGAAATCAGGTCAGCCTCACTTTTCCTACCTCAGTACTTTGGGTATAAACCCAGTGTTCGGCAATGAATGCAAAACACTGTGTTCATTTCATTAAAAATTTCAGGAGGTTATGCAAAGGGGTTGGATCAAGTAGGTCTCTTGTATTGAAGCCTTATCTAAAGCAAAAAAATGAGGGAAAGATGAACTAAAAGGACCACTCAGTCTATGAAAACATCAGTACAGATTGCCATACTAAGACTCTGTTTCTATAATTAGATATTTGTTACTTTCTAATTATATAAAGAGAGTCATAGTAGCAAAATATTGCCAATTCTTTTACTTATTTTTATTTACTCATAAAAGTTTTGGATGATTTTTGGAGCCCAAGATATACATGAGCACCATCAGGCAAGTAAAGCACAGGGAAATGAAAAGTTCACTATTATTCCATAGCCAAGGAAATGAGAACACTCCCTGTCTCTCATTCTGACCACAAGATGTAGCTGTCCCTTTCCATACTGACCCTTCCATTCAGGATTACAGGCTCTCATTACTTACCAAATAAAACAGCCAATATAAAGAGGCAATGCCTCAGGGGAGCCTGTGCTGGAGAAATACACCATGAGCAGGTGGTAGAGTGTCCCCAGGGCCCTTCACCACAAGGTGTCCCAGCCCTGATGGGGGAGACACAAAATCTGCTGGGGCAAAGATTGTTCTGTGGCTATAAACTGGCCAGGAGTGAGTCACGCTGAGCTGGACAGGCCTATAGGTGCAGCCTGGACCCTGCATCCTGGGAGCCTCCTCTCCTTCCCATCTTCCTTTAATACTTTTATTTTGTTCTGGATAAGGCTCAGTTGGTGCTACATTATACAGAGTCATGCATACACCACCTTTGTGCCTACTTCCTGCTCCTGTGTTTCTTCTTGACCACATTGGCTGGGGGTGCTGGGGACATTCAGGGAGTTCAGGGGCCCACTGGAGCTGTCAGCAGCCTGTGCACACACAGACCTCCCCACAGGAGGCTCCTTAGGCCTCACCGTCTGTGGGCTTATTGAAGGAGCCATCGCTGGCACCAAGGGCTCTAACACCATTCCTGCTGCCATTCCTAATGCTCTGAGCGACTGCCAACCATATGAAGATCAACAAGGGAAAGTTCTGGATTCTCTACCTGGGGTGCAGCAACCCTGGATGTACAGACAGAGTATGGAATGAGAGGTTGGAAAGCACCAACACAGAAAAGTACCTGGTTTCTGCTTGATGGCAAGTTGAATCTGAGTCAGCAGTGCCCTGGCAGCCAGAAGGGCCACCTGTGTTCTGGGGGCATCAGGGACAGCATGGCCAGCCTGGCAAGGGACGGGATTGTCCTGCTCTGCTCTGCACCGGGGCAGCCTCATCTCGAGTGCTGGGGGCAGTTTTAGGCTCCTCAATATAAAAAAAGACATTAAACTATTAAAGACTGTCCAAAGGAGGGCAGTGAAGATGGTGAAGGGCCTTGAGGGGAAGCCGTATGAAGGTCACTTGGTCTGCTCAGCCTGGAGGAGCCTGAGGGGAGACTTCACTGCAGTTACAGCTCCCTCATGAGGGGAAGAGGAGGGGCAGGCACTGATGGCCGCGCTGTGGTGACAGGACCCGAGGGGATGGCCTGAGGCTGTGTAAGGGGAGGTTTAGGGTGGATATTAGGAAAAGGTTCTTCACACAGGGAGCCACCGGGTGGCGCCGGTGCCCCGCCTGCGGAGC